TACAGCTGTCTTCTAGAATTCTGTAACCAGAGAGAACCAAACCAAACATTCCATAGAAAGTAAGTTCTGCAGCGTTTCAGAATGCAGATAGAAAGACTGATATTTTTGAATGCTCCCTCACATTAGAGAGGAAGGTTTAGTGTAGCTCTCTTCCCAGTTTACTACAGTGTAGAGACTGCATCATTGTTGGTAGTGGGAGGGAAAACATTCCAAAACATGACCTGTGCCTTAGATTGGGGCAGTCCAGTCCAGAATGCTACCATTTGGTATTCTGTGAAACAGGCAGAAGACTGAGATCTAAGAACTGGTTCTGAACTATGCAGCAAGTGGGATAGGTAAAACATAGGCACCCCCACCGATCTGATTTTTTTGCTGATTCAAACACTGACTGGTAAACTGACCTGTTGTTGAGGTCCACATGTTCTTAGAAACTCACAGATCCTACACTGCGTAATACTTGAGAGTCATAGTATGTACCATAAAGCAGAAGCAGGGAATCAAATGAGTTATTCACCTGAGCTCTGTTTACCCAGCTTATACACATCTGCATTGGCTGTCAGAAGTATTAAAGATTGTGATGAACGTTAGCGCAATATCATTAGCACTCCAGTTTCAGACTCCTCATCTGACAGAGCCAGACTAATCAAAATGCCATCCATTTGCTGCACGCACAAGTTCAATAACCCCATTAAACTGCTTTTAGCTTGTATTTTATTGCCTCTCAGGGAAAAAACAAAACAAAACAGAAAAAGGCTTGAGCGTATAAAAGCCTGGCTTGAACTGAAACATCAATGAGTGTGACATGGCTGCTGCTGAAGAAGAATATATATAATTTGTAATAATCTCCCATGGAGCATCACAGCTTCTCCTCTGCCACTGGTGTGGATTCTTGACACGTAATCTGGCCAGCCTAACACATGAGCCAATGACATCTTTTATAGCTGCAGCTTGTGAGCTCTAGTACAGAACCCAGTTAGTGGCAACTATGCCACACTGGAATACCTATCCAGTAATGAGTTGAGAGATGTAAAACACATAAATGTACATGTGGAAGCACTGTGATTCTGATTGTTGGGGAGAGTTATATGATTGTAGTTTGCTTCAGAAGTTCAAGAAAATGTTAGATAGGCACCTGACTTCGGTTAGTCTTTCCTAGTCTGAAACAGGAGAACTGGCTTATATGAGTTACTGGATCCTTTCTACTCATGTAGTCCTGTATCATCTAGAGCATGATAGGTAAAAACAATTAATTACTTAAATGTAAATTTCAATTAAATTAAATATTCAAGGGAGGACGGAAGATTTCAGAATCTGAAAGAGGCCAGGAAAAATTTCAGATAATAGTGTAATGACCTTAGTAATATGACCTAATGTATTTATTCAAGAGAAATAAGTTGTGGTGGGTGGCTTTAGTTACCATCTGCAACTCTTTGCAAGATCAGGGATTCTGACAGCCAACTGAAACCAGTATTACCGTGTTTCCCCGAAAATAAGACACGGTCTTATATTTATTTTTTTCTCAAGAAGACACACTAGGGCTTATACCACAAATGCATAGAAATCCTGCTAGGGCTTATTTTGGGGGTAGGTCTTATTTTCGGTGAAACAGGGTAGGGAGTTCATAAAGCTGTGTACAATGGATTTTATTTTGTGTGAGTAGGTATTCTGGTGAGGCAGGAGCTAGGATAGTGGGCTGGATTTCCTTGGCTGAGACTGGGTGACTGAGAATCCTCCAGTCCCTTCCTTCAGAATTTCTCCAGGGAGGAATACATTGTCCATCTTTCTTCATCTTACCCTCACAACAACATTGTAAAGTAGGTTAGGCTTAGAGTGAGTGGCTGAAGATTGCCCAGCAATCTTCATGACAGAGGAAATTTGGACCTGGATCTCTCAGATCCTAATCTAACACTCTGGTTACTAAACCACACTGCCTTTCTTTCCCCATCTTCTCCATATACTATTTATATATTTTACATATATGATATTAGGGACGTGTGCCCCCCCCCCCATCTGCAGATAGCTAAATCAGTGGACTGGGACCACACAAAGGCTAAAGAGATTTTTCTGCAAACTTGGGGCACTTCCCAGGTTTGCAGAAAAACCTGAAAATTAAAAGAAAATACACGGGGTGGGTGGGGGTGGGTTTAATCCCCTGAAAAGTGTGCAGAGAATGCACTTACGTTCGGTGGTGGCGGCACCAGGGGGTCGCACTGGGCCAAGCAGTGGTGACAGCTGTGCAGCCCAGGGCCTTGCAATGGCTCTGACAGCTGCTACACAGCCTGGGGCTCTGTGTTGGGCAGAGTGGTGGCTGCATAGCCCTGGGCATGCTGCTGCTGGTGGGCCAGCCCAGGTGTTGCACCTGGCCTTCAGGTGGCAGAGACACAGGCCTGAAAGTCGCACTGGGTGCAGGCCTGGCAAGAAAGTGTGTGTGTGTGTGTGTGGGGTGAGTGAATCCCCTCTGTGAGTATTGTGAGCCTACACTTGTCTTATTTTCTAATAACGAAGTTGGCCACTCTTTGGATACTTAAATCTAGTGACTGGAGCTGTGAATGGGCAAGCCAGATCTTTCTACAAACCTGAAAAAGGCCCTAAGTTTGCAGAAAAATGTGAAATCTAAAAAAAACCCCACCAACGTTGGTAGCAAAAAAATCCAAAGGTGATAAAAGGAGCGCCTGTATCTTTAAGCAACAGATTCCCTCAGAGGCAAGGCAACCACAAGTATTCCAGGCTGGGTTCTGTCAGTAAAATGTGTGTGTTTGTGTGTGTGTGTGTGGGGGGGAGGCAGGGCCTTTTCAAGGCCTATTTTGGTTGAGGAACTTTGCGGCGGTCTCTCTGCCCTGCTGGTTGCAGGTGTCAAAGGTCACCCTGCAGGTCAGCTCCGTTGGTTTGGGTGCATAGTAATTTTGCACCGCAGTGACGATCTGGGAGTCTGAGGAGGACAGGGTTTGGGGAGGGGACAGGCCTCAGCTGGATATAATGCTATAGAGTTCACCCTCCAAACTAGCCATATTTTCCTGGGAGACAGATCTCTGTCATTTGGAGTTCAGCTATAATTCTGCAAGATCTCCAGGTCCCACCTTGAGGTTGGCAATCCTATGCCTGGAAGCAACCTCTGGGTGACTTCATATCACCCAACTTGCATAACTAGGCCTGGCTGCCTGCTACTGTTCTAGTTTGGTGTAGTGGTTAAGTGTGCGGACACGTTGGAGCGGATGGGAGGGAAGCGGCCTCGTCGGCTGGATCGCTCTTCGGATCACTGCTGCTTTGCGTTCTCTCGGTCCCTTGCGACAGCCCGGCTCAGTTGCGGCTGAATCCCATCCTCGTCGCCACTATTGTGTAATGGGTTGCCGCATGGATGGACAGACAATGACGTAGTGCATGGCACGCTTTATTAGAACACAACAAAGACCAGGAACAACAGCCGGCAGGCCAACTATATACACAACCAGGGGACACACCCCTGGGTCCCATTGGCGGGATGAAGGACAGTAAAAGAGGCATGTTGTTGTATAGGCATAGGGGCCAGCTGCACAGATGGCTTCAAAACAGGATTCAGCAAATTCACAGACCAACAATGACTATCAGTCCAAGCTATGAAAGCCAATGTGGCATAGCAGTCTGAGTTCCATAGTAGGGTCTGGGCAGAAGAGGAGGAGGAGAAGGAGAAGATTTATTTCCCACCCTTCACTTGGAGTCTCAGAGCAGTTACAATCTCCTTTCCCTTCCTCTCCCCACAACGGACACCCTGTAAGGTAGGTGGGGCTGAGAGACTTCTAAGAGAACTGTGACTGATCCAAGGTCACCCAGCAGGCTCCATGTGGAGGAGTGGTGAGTTAAACCCAGTTCTCCAGATTAGAGTCTGCCACTCTTACCCACCACACCAAACTGGAGACTGAGGTTCAAATCCCCATCTTGCTGTGGAAGCTCATTGAGTGATTTTGCACCAGCCACATACCTTCAGACCACTGAGTTGTTGTGCAGATGAAAAAGGTGGAGAGAATAATGTATGATGATTTGGTTTCCACTGTGGAGAAAGACCATGGTTTCCCATGGTGGAGGCTGCAGGAAAGCTGAAGACAAAGGAGCAAATAACAGCAGGTTGGCTGTTAGGTAGGAAGGAGATAGGGTTGTCAACTCCAGGTTGGGAGATTCCTGCAGATTTGAAGGGTGGAGCCTGGAAAGGGTGGGGTTTGAGGAGGGCAGGGACCTCAGACAGGTATAATGCCATAGACTCTACCCTCCAAAGCAGCCATTTCTTACAGGGAAATTAGTATTGCCAGCCTTTAGGTGAGGGCTTGAGATCACTCAGAATTACAACTGATCTCTAGATAACAGAGATCAGTTCCCCTGGAGAAAATAGCAGCTTTGAAGGGTGGAATCTATGGCATTACACCCTGTTGAGGTTGCTTCCCTCCCCAAACCTCATCCTTCCAAGGCTCCACCCCCAAATCTCCATGAATGTCCCAACCTGGAACTGGCAAACATAATGGGAACGGATGTCCATAGTTAGGAGAGCCATTATGGTTCCTGGAGAGCTGCCGCCACCACTGCTGCTGTGGGTGGCTGGGAGAGCATGGGGCAGAAAGAGGGAGGAAGCGAAAGGCATGGAGGAGAGAGAGAGTAAGAAAACGGGTGGCAGAAGGGAGAAAGAGTAAGAGAAGTAGGGGGAGAGGGAAGGAAGCAAATGTGTGAGGAATGGGATAGCCACTCCTGCACGTTTCTTGTGGTTCCTCACTTACGTATTTACTATTAGCAACATGTGGCCCCTCTTTGTGGATATCTAAATCCATGGATTGTGGCCACATGGACACTAAAGAATTTTTTCTGCAAACACGAGGGACCCCCTAGGTTTGCAGAAAAATCTTCACAAAAATACATCTCGGGGGGGGGGGATATGCTCTCAAAAGTAAAGCAGTGTTCTCTGCACGAGCACAAAGAATGCACCTAACTCCAGCAGTTGGAGGAGGCTTGGAGCTACGCTGGGTCAAGTAGCAACAGTGCACCCTGGGGATGCAGCCCAGAAGCCATGCTGGGCCTGGCAGTGGCAGTGCAGCCCAAGGAGAGTATGGGTGCTGGGCCTGACAGAGGCTATGCTGGGCCAAGTGGCAGCAGCAGTGCAGTCCAGGGCTCCATGCTGGACTGGCCTGAGAGCTGCGTTGGGCTCAGTGGCAGCACAGCCAAGGGAGAGCACAGGGGCTGTGCTGGGTCTGGCAGTGGCTGCTGAAAAGCCCAGGGCTCCATGCTGGGCCTGGCGATGGCTGTCAGAGAGCATGGAAGCCACGCTATGCTCAGCGCGGGGGAGAAGTGATTCTGCCCCCATGAGGCTTGTGAGCCCCTACTAATAGTGATGTATGGCCCCCATCTGTGGATACCTAAATCTGCGGATCAGGATGACACAGACACTAAACAGAGTTTTCTTCAAACTTGGGGGAATCCCCTGGTTTGCAGAAAAACCCCAATTCAAAATTCGCTGCTTGGAGTTCAGGGAAGGCAAGCGGCTGCCCCTTTCCCTCCCCCGTCTCCTGCTGCCCCACAAAATTTCTCCATGCCCCACCTCCCCAAAATTTCTGGCTACGGGGCTGCTACAGGGGGGTTTAAATCCCCCCCAAATACATTTGCACACTCTTACCGGATCAAAACAGAGACACTCCAGCCTAGTCCGGCAGTGAATGCCAGCAGCAGCTCTGGGCCCATCCTCAGTATCAAAGGACGCAGCAGCCATATTGGGCCCAGCTGCAGAGTGGAGAAGGATGCCGGCAGCCACGCCAGGCCCGGCTGCAGCAGATGCCAGGCTCATTAGTAGGTGGTGGGGCCTGGAGCCATGCCAGGTTTGGTGCTGGGTGGATATGGGATTCCACCCATGAGTTCCCCCCATTGAGCCATAAGAAATCAGGTAGCAATGGGGGAGGGATTCCCCCGTGAGCATCACAGGTCCCCACTTGTCCTCATATTTACTTCCACTTTTTGCACGGAGAGCCTATTTTCCTCCCCTTCCTTTCTGCTACCAGTGAAGCTGCTTGTTGTGATAAAGCCACATGAAGTGAATGCCTCCTTAACGAAGATGGATGGAGCTGCGCTATGCACTGAGAATCCTGTTACCGTATACACTGCGACTACTATTCAGACTGTTCAAAGGGCAGCTGGAGCTTGGCTCTTGCTCCCTTTGCCAGCCTCCTTACTAGCACCATCTCCTCTCTAGCCTTCCATGGACTTTAGAACACCAAAGGTGCTTGGAGAAATGGCTTGAAGGGAGGGTGAAGGATAAACAGACTCAAGATGGAAAGAGGGCCAGGGAAAGGGGAAGGAAAAAATGTGAAAAGTGATGAGAGGATGGATAGAAAGAGAAAGGTCAAAGTCAAGATGAGAATTAGAAATGAGATAAAAAAAGGACGGCGGAAGGGGTCAGAAGTGGAGCAGAGGGAAAGCAAGTACATGCCATGCCAGGTAACATCGGCAGGGGTCATGGTGGGCACCACATTGTGGATTGCTGTTTCGTTGAATTTGATGGTCATGATGACCAGCTGACAAACAAAGCACTGTCATTTCTTCGTGTGTGAGAGTGCCAACGATTCACTAAACTCACCAACTTGCGGATTTCACATTCTAAATTCTGAATACAGTCCAGTTTTCTTTTGCGACAGCGCTGAGCTGCAATCCGGTTTTTACTGCGCCGCCGGACATCATGGATAAATTCCAATTGCTCTGAGGTTAATTTGTGCATCTTTATCATCATCTGGAAATCGTTCCTTGGAAGATCTGTGATTTGATCGACAGGAAATGGAAGTTTCACCTGAAAAACACAACAGAAATCAAAATGTAGCTTGCTTTATTCTCTAACAGGCTGCTAAGGACAGCACACTTTCAGTCTGAACAACAGAAGAGCAATCATTTCATCAGTGTGCTGTTCTGATGCAAAAGACAAATTCAGTAGCAGGAGTGATAGAAAAGGCAATGCAAATAAATTTCCCAGTGTCATGATACTACATAGTCATGTAACTTAATCACATTTAAACACCACGTATCGTTCTGCTTGCTTCATGTTAAAAAAAGGTTCACAATACAACTGGAAAAGGTAAAGAGCAACTAAGATAATTAGCACACTACAGCACATAATCTAAAGAAGGTACCATGATAGAGGCTTATAAAATTGTGAACGATGTAGAAAAGAGAACCCCCCCCCTTAGAATTTTGGGGGTCATCCAAAAGAGTTGACTGACAGCAGCAAGTTCAGGACAGAGAAAAGGAAGCAGTTATTGAAACAGTGTGTCATTAACTTATGGCATTTGCTTTCATAAAACTATGGTAATGGTTATTGGCTTACATAATTTAAAAAATGAAATGCACTAATTCACAGAGAATAGGTCTTTTGATGGAGATTAGCCACAAAAACAAAATGAAACTTCTGTGTGTGGAGGCAATGTACCTCTAAGCAGGAAATGGGCCATCATCCTCATTTTATTTTTCCAGTGAAATGGCTCTCCAATGTTCTCTACTTCTTCTCAGGATGCAAGTGCTCTAATCTAACACAGAGAGCAGTTCAGAAGCCTTCACAGAATTTTACACCAAATGCTGGTGTGACGGACTGCACTTTTAAGAAGCTTAGAAGTGCTGTACAAACAGCTGAAGGACTGTGAAGGGTTAATTCTTCACAAAAACAGGGAGCCTTGAGTGACAGGCTATTCTAATAGATCTGATTGGTTAGTATCACCTGAGCAGAGAAGGACTTCTGAACTGGATGCCGAGGAGAATTCAGTCTGATTTCAGCCCTAGCTGAGAAGAGTCAAGTGCTGACAGTTTATGAAATCAGCCCTGACTGAGAGCATTTAACACAGACAGGAGAACTGGGGGGAAATTGGCAAGGACAAGTGTTTAGTTAGACAGAGACTCCCATTCGGGCCAAGGAAAGGGGAAAGATCTTCTAGTAAGAGAAGAAAATTCTGTACCCAGTCAAACTGGGAGTTAGCTCTGAAGAGTGCAGAGATCCCTAGTCTGGTGTGGTTAGAAACTGCCTTTAGAGGCAGTTAAAAACTCAAGATGAGAACTGGTGTTTCAAAGGTTTGGGTACTGGAAAGAGCAGCAGCCTTCTGGAAATCAAAAGAGTTAGAGAAGACTCAAAGGAAGTGTACTGAAGTGTTGAGGGAAACACTGGAACAAAAGCCTCTCAACAAAAAGATTTAAGTCACTGTGAAAAGCTTAAGAAACTCTCAGCCTGAAACATAAGAACTAAAGTCTGTGCATGTACTGGTTTTACCTCAGAAATTTCAGCCTCTGTTTTTACCTGACCTTTCCCCTCTATGTTAAAATATTTTGTTATTTTTTAATTTCACAATGCCTCGCCATTTAAGTTGTTTAAGTTAAACCGAGCTCCTGAAAGGTTTTCTTTGATTTGTGTAAGTATGCATGTTGACCAAAATGTGGCAGCAGGTTCCTGGGCTGAGCCAACAGCCAAAATATCATACTGTGACAGGGTGGGACAGCCAGAGTTCTTCAGCAAAGAAGAAAACACATAACTAGAGCAGTTCTGTCAGTAAAGGGAAAGAAAAATGGAGTGAAAATCTTGCCTCTGAGGGAGGGAAGTGGACGGGGCCATCATGGCTGGCAAAACCAGGTCTTAAGTTCATGATCTGAAAACGTTGCTTTTTTCATCCTTATTTATTTTGTAACTTCTGGGCTAATCAAGAGTTCTGGTGAGCTCTAAAGCTTGCACAATGTGGTGGATCCAACCATCCTCCAAGCAGCCTTCCTCCAATGGAAGACCTACTTAGATTGGAGGAAGACTTCAAGCTTGCGCCAAAGACAAAGGTGGGTATAAATACTTCAGTAAATAAATATATTTTGCTCAGTGGAGTGTTAGGATAGGGGTAGGATCCATGTGAATGTTTTGTATCATTTTGGTTAGTCCAAATAAAAGGTATTACATGGATTTTTTTGGTACGCCCATATGTCTGTTACAACTTTTCCCCTCCTCATTCTCTACTTGAGAGTTTTCAGAGGTATCTGGTAGGTTATTATTACAGATAATATGCTCAACTAAATGGATCTTGGGTTAATTCAGCAATGAAGTTCACATGGTCTGATGTCATACCACAATGACCCTATTAGGCTGTAAGATCTTTTTGGCTAGTGAATCCATTATGCCAACTCTGGGGTGTATCATGAAAGGATTTCTTTGATTGTGTAAGTATGCACATTGGCCAAAAGGTGGCAGCAGATACTAACAGGATAGCCCAGATAGTTTAACCATTGGCAAAGCCTTTATGTCCTCCTGCCAGGACAGGTTATTGAGGAAAAACTCCTTTGATGGAATGCAGGCTTTAATAACGTGGACATGTACCTATCACATATGTAACAATACAGGACATCAGAGTAAGGACAGCTCTAGAAGCTGATACAAATCTTTTTGCTTTAATGTAGAAAATTAAAGAACCCATATACATTTGCATTCACCACTAAATGGGCATAAACCGGGAAAATTGAGGTTTGTCCCGGTTTGTGGGGTCTCATGAACACCACATTTGCAGCAAATCTCCAGCTGACTCTCCTCTAACTGCCCTCCATGTCCGGTGAGGATTGAATTTATAGCAGCCCCCCAAAGCAGGTGCCCCCAGGACAGTGCTCTCTGGGGAAATCACAGCCACAGGTCCAGAGTATGTCAAGCATCCCCCCCCCCACAAGCTAGAGGCATAAAACTCTCAGAGGACCTCCCCGGAAAGCCCCTCTACCTGCCCTCCAAGTAGTGTGCAGATTGGCTTGGGGGGGGGGTTGAGTAGCAGCCCCCCAAAGCAGGTGCCGCCAGAAAAGTGCTCACTGGGGAAATCACAGCAGCCAGAGGTTCAGGAGTGTGTCGATTTGAATGGACCCTCTGCAAGCTAGAGGCATCAAACTTGCAGTGGACTTCCTTGGGGTGCCTCTCTACAAAACGGGGGGATATCTAGCATCTGAGGGGGGTGGTAAGTTGAAAACCAAGTTGATGGGCAGGTACAGCAAGGACAGCTGATGATGCCAAGCAGGTGCCTAGAGGCACAGAAGTTGAGGATCTTAGGGTCCAAAGTGCAGAAGGAGGGAGGTCTACCGCAGGAGGGGGTGGCAAGCTGGAAAACCAAGTCTATGGGCAGGTACAACAAGGACAGCTGGTGATCCCAAGTCCATCCCCCCATTGCTTTAACAATTAATTGATTGGTACCAGTGTGTCTGGCTCATGAACTGCTGCTGAAAACCCAATGAACCTCTGTGAACAACATGGCAGTTCGTGGGTGACGGAATCTCATGAACCAAGGCCATACAAATCACAAACTGGCCATGTTCATGATGAAATTAGGTTTGTGCCCATCCCTATTCACCACCACACATTTTCTTTACACAATGTATCAGTAATTACTGTGTTATACTCCTTTTGTACAGTGACATCATATTTATATACCTCACTAAACCACAGTCATATGAACCTTGAAAAAGAAATTAATGGTATCTTTTCACACATTCTGCACGGCAGACTTCACCCTCATGCCTCATCCAAAGATGGCAGAGCATCAAAATTAATCACACCACAGGTCAGCTTACTGTGGCATGTGAGGAAAAAGCTGCCAGAGACAACAGTGCTTTGCTTACATACACAGAGGCTGACCTTCGACATGATGATGTGGACTATTATGTTTACAGTCTAGTGAGGAGTGATATGAAAAACATTTGATTTCCTTGACATACACTTTGGACCATAAGCATAACACCCATGTGGTGATTCTTTGAAGGGTTCCATGGGACTCCCATGGCCAACACATGTATTTTCACCGAAAATAAGACACGGTCTTATATTTATTTTTTCTCAAGAAGACACACTAGGGCTTATACCACAAATGCATAGAAATCCTGGTAGGGCTTATTTTCGGGGTAGGTCTTATTTTCGGGGAAACAGGGTAGCTGCCTTACACCTATTCACATCTTCATCCACCCAGCTCAGTATTGGTCACTCTGACTGGGAGCAGAGCTCTGGAGCCTCAGGGAGAGAAAGAACTTGATATCCTTTTAACTGGAAATGTCCAGGGGTTGAACATGAGAGCTTCTGTTCTACCAGCAATCCAGGATTCCCTACTGAAGCTGAGTAAACTGCCTATGATGTCACTCATAAGGACAAACTATT